GGGCACTTGCTCAGGTGTGAAACTCAAGCCTCGCAACAGGCTCTAGCACCTGCACCCTACCGTGGATAGCGTTGCCAACTCAGTGACCAACTGATGATCTGGAGTAGTACGGTCGAGACGGGTACGGGACTACTGGGCCTTCAATCCGTATGTGGAACTTGTAACTGGAATAAAAACCGAGTCTCACTGCGTCAACCTTAGCACCGGTCGCCATGGGTTGATTGCCATCATCAGAAACATCCATTAAGCCGACTTTTCCTCACTTAGGAATTAATCGATCTTTTATCACTCACCAACGACCGTTACCAAATAGGCAGCTATATTTCACCTGGCGGACGCGTCACAGATGAAGTGTCAGTATGCATGCAGAAAGCTCGGTTGGCCTTTGCCAACTTGCGACATCTGTGGCACCGTCGTGACATCCGGCTGTCTATGAAGGGTAGAGTGTATGCTGAAGCAGTTCGGCAGAGACTTGGCCATTACGGGAACAGGATTAAAATAGATTGTCGGTGTTCGAACACCACTCTCTACGCCGCATTTCACGAGTCTATTGGAGAAACCGGAAGAGCAATGCTGAGATTAGGTGTAGTTTTAGTTAATCGCAGTCTTCCACTGGAGCGAATGGTTGACCTCTATAGAGTACACTAGTTAGGAGAACGCAAGGAGGTGATTGAAGTAGGGTCTTGTATGTGTTTCACAGACATAGCATACATCTAAATGGAAGGTTTCAAGGGCTCTATTTAAAGCAGCTTGCGAATCTGGTAGAGTATGCGGCCATTAAATGCGGTTAAGTGAAAAGCAGATTTTGGTTTTAAAAATCTGATAACCTCTGAACGGTTGATTTCATTATTTGAAAGCTGAGTGATATTCTATAGATGGCGCAAACCGGATGCATCTCCTAAGGTTTAGGAATGAGAATAGGAAGTGGACAGATGAGAAAGAGAATTTTCGAAATGAGTAAGTAGCCGCTGTCTACACAGCATTGCTCGAATCTGGTGGGACAGCAGGACGAGCAATGCTGAGGTCAGGCGCAAAGGTTTACGCAACCGCGGTCGCCCACTGGAGCAGGTAGTTGACCTCCATAGATTACGTTGGTCGGAGCATGTGTTGCGCATGCCACCAGATAGGTTGCCATGGTGAGCGATGTTTGCCCAGGCAGGTAGCGGTTGGCAGAAGGTCAAGGGCAGTCGAACTAAGACCTGACACGAGGGTATGAGAACCCTAACCAGAACACTGGGTCACACAGGCTTCGTTGGGCTCCCCGGCTGGGGACTCCGAGATCACAGTCACCGGTGGCGAGAGACACTGAGTGATATGGCTGATTGTCACAAACAGTAGTGCTTGTGTATCTGCTCTATATTCTAACGACCCCAGTGGATATGAATTTCCTATCTCCTCTTTGGCTCTTCCCTCAACACTCCAATCTTCATTCTGTTCTTTCATTCAAACGGATAATCAAAGGAGAGCGACCAAAACCGGCGCATGGAAATGCATGGTTAATGGTTGTAAAAACCGAGTTGAACTGAATCGTTACCAATTGGTGCTGTAACCAGTGTATCGCGGATTCTGCATCCTCGTCAGCCTCCCAATTCGATGGCAGATTGACTTTCCTACGCGTACAGCAGACTCTAGTTGTATACCGAAGACGCAAGTTCAGTATTTGGCGTGGAGTTACTTCTTACGCCCGTTGATCAGCGACGAAGAACACTCAGTTCGTCAGCAGGGAGTTGGTGTCGTACTGAACAGCAAAGCTGAAGCCTCAGTACTATGGTACATTCCTGTCAATTGTCGTTTAGCACCAAGGCTCCAGAGTTAAGTGTTTGGTCAGGAAGCAACAGCAAAAGGTGTTTGTTCATCATTTCGGTATATACGCCAACCAACATAGGTCAAAATCCATGGGAGGACGAGTTTTACCCCAAACTTACCCAACTCATTCGACTGAGCCGCAGTTACCATGTGGTTGTACTGGCAAGTGATTTTGACGGGCAAGTTGGACAACTAAAGCCGCTTTGAAGCTTGTCTAGGCAATCATTTCGCTCTACCCTGTCAGCGAACAGATTACTGACAGATCACTTCAGTTCTTATTTAGCACCGATTTTCGGTCCAGTTCTCGACAGACGGCAGCCTGGTGTTTTAGTTAAACTGCAGGTAAACCCAAGATAACCATATAGCTACCGTTAACCTCGTTCGGTATAAAGTTACCGGTCCTTTGAACCCACTGCTTTGAGTCTGATTACGCGCTAGTTTTGATTCAATTCATGCTGCCACTCATCGGCCATCGGCAAAAGTCGCACCTCCGTTAGCCAGTCATCTGCTTGTTTGCACCCTTAATGAGGAAAAGCTCAGGAATAATCTGTTAGCATTGAGCCGTTGCTGCGTTGATCAGCAGTGGGATCAAATTAGACATACAATGCATTCGACAGCAAACTGCTTGTGAATGCCAGCCCTGATTGCGTAACAGTAAAACATCCCAATCTAGGTGAGACTGCGTCTGCAAAGTCAACTCAGAAAAAGCTTGAAAAAAGATCGTATGTATTGGTTGGCCAAAATAGATAGTGAGATAGAGATATCCTTTGCATCAAGTAATAATTACCGTTTCGCCGGATACTCAGCACTGAAGGTCGTTGCATACCGATCGATGAAACCATTTGCGATACAATTGGACAAGGATCAGTATCGTGGTCACTGATCAGAGTATTTTATCGAGCAGTTCATTTGGCCTGGTACTAACNGCTGCTGACGCTCCATTGGTCGGTAATGTGTGAGCCCCCAACAGAGCTCAAAGTACGATATTCTTCTCAAGCTCTGAAGAAATACCTGATGGGTGGTTCTCTCGTCGGCTCTATTACTTGTTTACTACACAATAGTTGATTATATGATGAATTTGTCGTTTGAGGTGTGAGCTGAAAAGCCAGGAAGCACTGGACAGCTGTTTTGACCTGGTTGGGTGTCATCAGCANGTGAATCCATCAACCCAACTGGGGATAGAACATGGAATCTCGCAAGTGGAACGCAAGCATACTACCCACTCGACCACCGGGCAGCTGATCAGACTGTTTCTCATTTTGAATATACACGATATGGCACAACGACGAATCCGTCATCTAATCGAATGAAAGCTTCCATTCCTCACATACACAATATTTGATCGGAAGGAGGCGTCCCATCTCATCATCCCGGACTGAATCGTTGATTGTTCCGAATTTGGATTAGATATCACGCAATAACCGAGAGAGCCATCTGATAAATTCAGTTCCGATCATTACAAAAGTCTTAGCCTCTGGGACATTTCATCACCCGATGCCCTTAAGATAAACGAATATTCTTGAATTGCAAGTAGGATTTCAACCAGTCCACGGTTGTATCGACCAAATGTTCAGATTGCATCAAGTCCTCGAGTCACACCACCCACGTCTTTAATCCACAGTCATGTTCCTTGACTTAAAATGGGACTTCGGTTCATTTCGCCGTAAAACCCATAAAAGATTTGTTTCTTCAGAAAATATGTCCAAGGAGTACGTAAATCTAATTAGGTAACTGTACTGGAATACTTCTGGTAGCGTAGAGATCTGCAGTGAGCTAAGAGATCGTTCGAAAACAGCAGCGGTGCTTTTAAGGATGCCTTATTTCTCCATTCTTCTTCAACTTCTTCGTAGACGATATATTGGAGAACGTACCAAGTCGTCTCAGAAATGTTGTTATTAAATGAACAACTATGCTGGTAACATCATGTCTTTTCTAATGTAGGGCGCCCGAAGCGAGCTTAACAGGCAGACAAGTTCTGTTGCTCCGATCAGCATGCGCTTTGCACATTCAGAGTACAAATTAGTGCTCGAAGATTGGATGTCGTCTACCTCGGCTCCAATGCTTGATATTTAAAAATTGGCTTTAGTGGAATGTTTCTCCTACTTCAGTTTTTGCAAGCTGAATGATGGGAGCAGCTATCGTCTACTGCACCGCGCCTTATCTCTGCTGTCACTGCTTCTGGATGGAGGAGGTCATATATGAGTCGACGGGGAAAAGAGACATGAAGAAGTTTCCAAAGCGGTTAGATGAAGTAGAGGTCTCCGGTCTTCCAGGTTAGGTCACAAAGAATTCGTAATTGGTTGGTTGGAGACACCTAGGGAGCTGGTATCCAGCTGGTGGCATTCACGCTTTTGTTGTTTTTACTCGGTCGAACTGATTGAGTTTTATGTGTGTACACACTTAGACTGTATATTCTGGATGTGAACCATCGAGGTTCACCTTGTTCTCTCCTCCATAAAAACAGGCCCATTCCCTAACCGCTGCACTCTCCTACTTAGAACTTTGGAGGCGATCCGCGAAATTCGTTTCATTGTATTTTTATGTAGGGCGATGCTAATAATGGTCGAATCTCTACCATTTTATTGATAAATATAAGCAGCTAATAGCTAATATTATTAGGGGTTTACTCTTTTTAACGATCAACTCGCTTCCCTTCCCACTCACCTGTATAATGCTAGGTTTCCAGTTATCAAAAGTTTCTTCACTGTTTATTTTGTCTTACTGTTGATTAATTAACTAACTAACTAATTACCAAGATCAGAAAGGAATGCTAACTTGCCATTTTTTCCTCTGTGAATCACAGGACGCAGGAACCAAACTGTTGAAAAGGCTCCAACGGGAATTATTTGCCCGCGGTGAGGCGGAAGCCACATCGGGTGCATACTACTTGCGTTCTGTACTTCCGGAGACTTCACTCAACTCACGTTCAGCTAGATTATCTCGTGGTGCAAAAAAAGGATCTGTCCATATGACATGTGCCACCAATGCCCCTGGCGTTGTAGGTGCAACGAGTTCCGCATTTACTGCTGGTACTCCGGTTGGTACGTCTGTCCGGAACAGTTCTTCCGCGTTGCGACATCATCGAGGGAACGGGACAGGTGGAGCACCATCATCTAGTGGTCGACTAGCAAGCAGACTGGTGCATATGAGACGTCGGTCCAATCTGGGGGATTCAAGCAAACAGAACTCAGCCTCAGTAGAGGTGAATAAACAGAACGATTCTCGGCATCCATGCGTTATTCCAGTTACTTCGGTCTCATTGGATGGGGTCGCCCCAAGAACTGGTAGCCCAACAAATCAGGTGAGTTTCAAGTCTGTGGAGGTGTAGCTAACTTCAGCTATCCGTTTGCTAATTTCATTTTGCCTTTACAAATGGGTATTTTCTTCTATGGTGAATACTTATCTCAACTTTGTTAACCATGACCCGTTTACTCTATGCTTGAACATTGCTTTAAATGTCATAAATTGAGTTTTCAGCCCTAAGATTAGTGACGGCAAAGTTCTACCTGGTCTATAAATGAGATTTCTCCGATAGATGGAAACGATGATTCTGAGATGGGTCTGTATGCAAGTAATAATCGCACTCCTTTGAGACGACCGTCGATTAAGGAATATATTTCAGTTTCCATTAATAAACGTGCAAATCGATAACTATGGATGAAGAGCATTTGCTCCATACTTTATTTCACAGCGATGTTCTTAATTCTTTTATTTCGTTAGTTGAAGTGGTGCGATCGTGCATGTCGCAAAATTTATGTATGTATTTATTTCACAGGCATCTGAGTTCAGACTATGTGCTGACACAAGTCACTATGTGGTAGTCCTTTTATGTAAAAAGCTGGTCCATGCTTTGCTAGTGGGTGGAACACTGCCAAATGCAGTAGATTTTACAAAGGGTTAACGGCACAAATAGGCATCGAGGTGAATTGAGCAGTTTGGACGTTTGGCACCGAGCGGAGGGCGTATTGTTCGATGAATTTAACACCAGTCGCGAATGGTTTGCGGTTTTCACACACTCCCCCACTATCATGTGGTTCAAGCTTTGGCTAGGTAAGGGATACGGTTGGAAAGTTCCCAAGAAAATCCACAAGCTATACACACACAGGTATTAACCAAACTTGTGCAACACCATGACTATTCCCGAATCTATTTATCTTATTGCCAAACGTTTTGATCTTCATGCACGGGAATGTGCATGGTATTACCCCAGGTGACCCGCAAAATTTTTATAATAGTATTAACTTATACGGTTGCTTCTTTTGGCCGATCTCGTTAGAAAAGTACAATTTCTCGATTTGGACTATGGTTGCTGACGCATCGACTGTAAGATAACCGAACATCTGTAGAGGGAACTAATAAAAAAATATTCGTGAAAAGAACTCATATCATGGACACATATAGAGGAGTTTCATATTTTTAATAATCTGTGTGTCCTTTATTTTGGAGCACTTGAGTCAGTCGTTTTGGCATGGGGTCCACCAAATTGGAAATTAGATCACTTCTATCAGTTTCCTTCAGTATGTGCCGTACCTTGGCCTCCAACGACCACTCTCGAGGAAGGTGACTCAGCTCTGTTTTCAACACAGAGAAAAAGTTTTCGATCACATTCAAATCCGGGCTGTTAGGTGGGAACTGAACGAATTCGATTTTTGTGGTAGCCATTTCAGATTGTGTCTAAATATGAGAAAAATAATATATGCTTCAGTTTAAATGATTTTATGACATACCTCATGTGCAACATGACAGGGGGCATTGTCCTGTAAAAGTATGGCTTTACCGAAGACAGTCCGAGAGTGGTAGTCACTGAAAACTTCCTTGATCAGTGAGACAAATTTTCCACTGTCCAGACCAACGACAAGATACTTTGTATTTAATCCCCACCCAGCTCATCAGACGAGAAGGATATTTGCTTTTAGTAAGCGGAGGAATGGATTTCTTTGGAAAACTAGGTCCACGGATTACCTTTTTTCACCTGGTGTCTTGCTCGTCAACCACCAGACATTCTTCAGTGAAATAAACTGAACTCCAAAAGGACAGGCAACGCGATTTGAATTCGTTGGCAAAATTAATACGTTCCTTCCTTTGTTTGGCGTTCAGTGGTGGCTTCACATTAGCTGATCTCAGCTGTAGATCGAATTTAGCCATCGTTTTCCTAACGATGGCATACGGAGATTCCGGTAAATCCGCCCGTACTATACTGGATATTGGTTTCTTACAATTTCTTTTGAGCTGTAACTTTATGTAGTCGTTGTCCTGCTTCGATGTGGTCGGTTTTCTTCCTCCACACGGACGTCTCAATGTAGAAATTCCGTGAGTTATACGGAAAATTGTGCTTCTGTTCACACTGAAGCATTTGCACAGATCAGCAACTGAAACGCCGGATTCATATGCTGTTTTCATGCATTTCCTCTCTTCTTCAATTGCGTATCGGAAACTCTTGAATTTACCATCCGGTTTGGACATGGTGACAACACAAAATGAATATTCGACATGCCGCACACCTCAAGGCCATTGCTTGAAGGTTAAATTTCACGTTCCATGCAATATTTTTTCCACCTCCTTCTTGATGCGAGATTTTACGGGTGCAGTTTGTAGCCACATATATTTTCGAATACATTTTGATGATATATCATGATTTACATGTATGATTACCTTGCATTGTATAGAAAAAGATATGCTATTTAAAGTACTCAGATGGAGCAGAACAAACATCCTTATGGAACAATATTCATTGGTTAGAAAGAATAGACGTCCGTGCTTCTCTGCACCAAATGGTTTCTAATTTTAAACAGTAATATTCGAACTACTGTAATTTTTATCATGACAACCAACGTTGCGCCAATTCAAATCGCGAAACAGGAGAGCTGAATACATTACAATAGAAGGTGAAGTTCGAAATAAATGTTTAATACCAGTATATATATAGGGTTGCGCGTTGTTCGTTGCTATCCTGTTTGGTTCAGGGTATTCCTTCATTAGGCCATTTGCTGCAACTAACGCGTAGTTTTTCTGCTCCAAAACTTTTTATTCCATCAACTGTGATTCAGATGTCTCAGACGGTTTGATGGCGTGAATTCACTGCTTTTGAGTAACGCTTGCCGTCCATAACTTATCGCTCTTTCACGCGTCCAGCCTCGCTCCCGTTTCAGCCAAACCAGTTTTAACTGTTTAAAAGATCCCTCTGGTCAAAAAACGCAACATAGAATCATACTACCTAATAGCATCTACTACTGACTAACATGCTATTTCTCGGTTCCTGAAATTTCATATATATATATATATACAGCCCGGGATGTTAACTATTTGTCCTCGCACTTTGGTGGAGAAACACATCCCCTTTCGGGAAGGTAGTGAGGTTTTCATTAGCAGAGGCTATTTGAGCCTCTTGGTCACATAGGAGCCCTTCGCGAGTTGCAAGAGAAGAGTAACGTTTCACCCCTCAAGACCCTCCGACCACAGTGATTCCTTCAGAAACAGTAGCACTGTTTTGCATGCTTCCTCATGCACCCGACTTCTTTAATTATGAATGTGCTACTACTTGCTAATCAACAGAAATTACTGTATTGCTTATGTATTTCATGATTATCGCAAGTAATTATTGCGCACATCCCTAGCCCGACTTTAATGCAATTTAACTCAGCAGTCATTTCATACGCCCTATTGCTCAGCTGCTCAATGTTGACTTTCTATCATATTATCCCAGGATTCATCGGACGAGAAAGGTGAATCAAACGGCCTTCCTCTGGAGGGGTCTCTGGCGATGACTTGCCAGAGTCCCCGTTCTTCCATGCCCACAGATTCGGCTTCACTTGCTGCTTCATCCGTAGTAGATGCTGCTTTCAGCACCGCAACCGGACATATGCTATCTTCCGGTTTACCCTGTGTGCCACTCTCTGCATCGCCCACATTGACATCCACCCCGGAAGCTAATCGAACCCACACATCGTACACTTCTCGTGCTTCGGACGGACGAGAATTCTCTTTCGCTAATCTGGACGACATGCTATCGGAAGTAAGTACTCAGGAAGCTTCCATCTAGAACAAATGCGACGCTCCCGGTTTTTCCTTTATGCCTGAATACGGTGATGCATTTCTAGAGCTAATTTATTGGCTGACACTTCAAACTGCCCTTTTTCATGTTGAAATTGTTGTGAGTAGGAAAGCTTTCTGATTTTCAAATCGGTTAATATGTATTTATTTTTCTAGGTCGCCTAGACCACATATCGTCTCGGCTTCCATCTCATTAGCATTTTGAAGGCTCAGTCTATAATTTTCTACTTCGTTCTTATTCTCATTCTGTTCATTCTTGAGTCGGTTGGTCGGTTATTTCACATCGTTATAAGATCTACACTTTATACCTTCAATATTGGGACTAGCTTTTGGTTATAACTTATATATGTGCGCCCCGGAGAGCAACTGATTTCCATACTACTTTACCTGAATTCGGCTAGCAAATCAAGGATTTAGACAGCCTAGACGATTCCAAAAAATGACTGATCGATCTCATTCTACACACCAAACAGGTGCTTCGGTCCTGCTTTGGTGCGCATGTTTGTTCCCATTGCTGCAGATACACTTTTTAGTGAGTATATAAACTCATTACAGGTGAACTATGCATTTTTCTGTGTAGATATATCTGTCATTTGTGATCTGCGGAAATGCGCGAAGAGAAATCTTGTTCGTTGTTGCATACCATAGACAATTTTAGGATCCCGGTCACAGTTGACTGACTAAACATGGTTTTATAAGACTTGAAGTTTGCATAATATTGTTACATGTATTCCGTTCAGCGTATTGATTTTTCTTCTTTTTAGTGACTGTGTTCTTTTGTCTGCGGTGCTTCGCACATTGCGACTGAAGTTCACATCATTCCCTCTCAACCGAACATAGCTGAATTGAAGTGAACTGGATAAAAAAATCCACTCTTCAGTTCTGCGCACGCAGACGGGTTTGTATAACATTCAAGTCAGCTGTTTCTCTTTCTCTTCCTCTCCATCCTGATTCGTAATTTCACTGCTGTGTGCAGTATATCACGTCGCATTCTAGGTGATCACGGGGCTTCTTCACACCCAGTTCTTTCATCTTTCTGCATTAATGAATTCATGTTTGCAGATCACTGGCCTGGAACGCGCCACCTAACTGTGGGTGGTGTTCATCTCTGAGTATCCCCGCTGATCTTGGCAACGTTTTGTATGCACTTCCAACCTCACCTGTTTTCTTCGTATTTTTTGTCGAGATTATTTTACAAATTTTTTTTTTCGGGTGGTATTGTTAATTCTCATTGTCCCACTGTCTCGTACAAGTTTGTTTACGTCACATCGGTGGTTTGCTAATCCTTCGCGAGGTGCTATCAGGCTAGTATAGTGCTTTCATTCCTGTTGCTTAATGTACTTGTAGGCGATCATTTCGGACGTGTTTTCACCTTCGCGTGCATTCCATTTCTGATCAATGTTTACGACCATTGTTATTGACTTTGATTTGTTTGCTGACGAAGAGCACTACTCTTTTAACAGGGTGCTCCGATTGTCATTAAACGATATCGGAATTCCTGTTGGAACCTAATACTTTTCACCTGTGGATGGTGCAAATAGCCCCCACGCTGTTTTCCCACAATCTGTATATGACCAAATATCTATGACAAAAATACAATTGAATGGTTTTTGTGGTCTATCTGTACTCCGCAGTTGATAGCTTTCATGCTCGTCCGCCATGGTGTACGGAACAGAGTGCATTCTTTGAGTTCGCAAGCTTTTGCCCTGCCGAAACACGTTCTATACGTACAACTGTATCGTTTGTTGTTCACATTGATGTAGCGTTCTTCTCAAAGGAAATAGTGCATCGGTAGCGCGCAACCTACCTTTATCCATCTTGCTTCGCAACCGTGTGAATTCAACGAGACCTCTTAATTCTATTTAAATGAGAACGAATACGTTTCTCACAATTGGCGTAGATCGCTGTTGTTGGTATTCAGTTACAAGGATTTTGTCCTGCTCTGCGCACAGGGAGTGTTTTCTAATATCAGGATGCCTTGCCTTTGTAGACCACTAAAGGATGTTCAAATACAATGCTTTTTACAAAGCAATTTCACCGGGCACAGTGTGTTCATCAGTGCGCCATTTAATCCCACTTGTACTGCTCCATCTCCTCGCTTACCCCTGATAAACGTTCTGGTATTAGTTGTAACAATCGGTTACCGTTTATTGTAATTTATTTGTACAATGATTATCAATCGTTTCACATAACGGATAATTGTGTTGCTTGGTTTTCACAAATTGCACATTGATTTTATCGGTGACCCTACCGCTCCTGATCGTTGGATCTGCATCACTGCCAGTTCACATTGACCTTGATAAAACGGCAGCACTTCCTATATGCGCCAACACACACTTGAATGAGAAATCAAATGTGGGTGTTTATAATGTAATCCGCATCATTTATTTGTGGTAATGAGATTATTAGTACACTGTAGGTCACACCAATGATAACCTCACTTCACCAGGACAAATTCCGCTCAAATCCATCTTATCAGCTTGAGCCGTGCTCACGATTGCAAGAATGGAGTATATTTGGACACACCAATACCATGAGGATAATACTTAAAAAGGTTGTTAATATGAAACGTTGTTAATACTCTGTAAAATACCATTGTTAGTAATGAAATATACCACCGATTTTGCTAACTGTCGATAAAACTTGCAACGCAATCTTCAGAAAGTTATTTGCAAATCTTCAATACAGTCTCATCAGCTCTGCCAGGTTTCACAGTTTTGAAGTTTTCAATTCTTTATTTGATATGGTCCCATCGGGCTCAGTAAGATTAAAACCCAGCAGTCTAGTAGACGACCTTATGCAGCGTCGTCGGAATTGATTTTTTTTACGTAGGTGTGCTGGGGCTTTGAAATCTTTGAAGATGATTGTGCTTGGCTGGTCGTTCTATCAATGTTATCATTTTTCGTCTGCAATTCGTAGTGGAAGTCATACTTCCTTTATGCACACCTTATCATCACATTGTTTTCCACCCCCAATGACCCTGATTCATAATCCATTCCAGGCGCACTTTTTGACGGCAGTCGATCATTCAATTGATCCTTCGTTGTAGTTCGCTTGCCACAAGTTCTACCCCTGCCAGAGGAATGGTGATATCTACTGATTTCTTTGTACCGTTTTATCGAATTTGAAACTATAGATATCCAAACGCTGATCCTGCTGGCTTTCCACATACCAAAAAACTGCCAAAAAACTTGCAGGTTTTGGGTAGTCATGCCGAATCTAAATTGTGCGAATGCTAAATGCTTGCTTCTCCCCCTTATGTCATTTGGTGAAGGTTATATGTGATGCATGGGTGAAGTTTACAAATGTAATTGATGGTTAACTGATTACCGTTACAGAAGAGAAAAGAAAAGCATCAGCCTACGGGCAAAGCAACTCTGACAACACTAGAACGAAACTTAGCGATCACTCTTCACGCCATAGCCGAAGGTTACACCATAGACTACGGCAACCCGAAAGTACTCCAACTGGGATTTCGAACATGCACTGAACACTCGTATGCCGAAGC